TTGGTTGTGGTTGTGGAATGTGGAGAGAGACTAGTATATTCGAAAACGAATTTGGTTGGAGGAGAATGAATCACCATGTTAGAGAGATAATAGCATTCATCACCAGAAGCATGATCATTGAAAAGCCTAGTATTTGCATGCTAAGTATGTATTATGCATATACTTTTCCCTTAAAATATTCGACCTCCAATAATTTATCTGCCTTTTGAGCTGAATCAAAAGTGAATTAAGTGCTTGTTTTAGTTAAAGTTGTTGGGATTAATAACACACGTACCTCATTGAAAGGATTTTGACCGCATTGGTCACTTTGCTTGCATTGCACTTTGCACCCCACAATTTAAAATCCAAAATCATTATTAGTCCCATTTGCCGACACATCACAGCCTCTGCTGTTGATTCTGCAGTTTTGCACGTCTGAATTAATAAATTGATCAAATATGAAGAAACACACGTACGTCTCTTTACAACATCTTGATTCGCCAACTTAACACTCAAATATTACTGATGAGTATGACTAGTCCAGCAATATCTATTCTCCACATATATATATATATATATATATATATATATTGTCATATTACAATTTGGAGACCTCAAATGATCAACGAAGTTAAGCTTAATTAAATAAACGTACGATAGTAACCGGATGTTTTAGCGGTATGCGTATTCATACACTAAGTATACTATCTACATACGTTTTCATTGTATATATATGTATGGAATTAAATGCCCAGTCTCGTTCTGGAAGTATTAATTTCTGGTAATCAGCACCCAGGTCAGGTGCCATCTTTCATTGTGTCAACTCAGATGCTTTACTTTCTGATATATTCTTGCAATCGGGCGAGTATAATATATGAAAAAGATAAGCAAGAAACCAATGAAAGGAAAAAAAGAAAGAAAAGAGAATGGTATTGATCCTTCCCTCCAAGAAATAAGATTATCTTATAAACAAGTAAACTGGCCCTTGCAAATTGCAAACTTTCATTAACCTACTTTGCTTATATATAATATTACATTAAGCTTTAATAATTAGATGCATACATGCATGACATTCCTATTAGTCTTTATTTAAGACCCCACATTGTTAACTAACTCGTAAAGGCTATGGCTAGAGATTTAATTATAAATTATCATGAGTGCCGAGCGGGATTAAATAAAGATTAATGTTGATGACTTATTAATTAACGACAACATGTGTTTTTACAGTAATCTTTTTTATACTAGTCCCAAAGTCTTACCTAAAAAGAGAATGCTTTTCCCCCCTTCACTCTTCAGGTAGGTGTTGAGCCTTTTCATTTGAGTATGAAAAGAGATCACTAGCTAGCTAGTGTGTACATTTTGTTTATAATTAAGAAACAAGCTTCTGGTAAAGTTGTTTTATAATTAAGAAACATGCACTGAAATCTTAATGGGGAATAAGAGAGCAAAACATGATTCTAACAAACCCAATAATTACTCAGGCATATGAGATTAGTCAAATCCAGTGGTGCCTTCTTTGTATAAACTAATCAAGGATTTTTAAAGTTGACTTTTGTAAGTGAGTGTACCTAATCTAGCAAATTAGCTAGGATTACCGTTCCATTAACATAAAAACTCACTAAGACTTCAAATAATATAGTTGATGCCAACACCGCTACGATACCTCCTCAATTTATTTTGGTAACACGCATGCTTAATTTACTTATCAAAAATGAGTCTTTTCACATCAATTTGAAATTCGAAGCTTTATACGAGTACTACATGGGTTACGTACAATGGGATCATTGATTTTCAGGCATATAGATTCTTGATTCGTCTCCTAAAATCTGTCAGATATCAATGGCCAGAAATTATTGTTCTTGTATATGCTAGTACATGCCAGCTGCTTGAGTGGAAATAACAATGAGAAATTGACAATTCGATCTACTTTGGTATTTATAAGTTGACCCGGTAACATTGTCTAGCTCGTCGACACATCCAATCACATACACAATAGCCTCACCTTGGAAATTAATTCCAATCCAAGAAAAGAGAAGGTAAAAAAAACAGAGAGTGGGCAATTGTAAGCGAGTAATCAAATTCAAGGAACGAATCTGGCAGGAGGGAGAGATACTCTCGGTTATATGTTTGGTTTTAGGTCTATTAAGAGAAAACAAACAAGAAGATGGAAAAGAGATTCCCCAAAATCACGGGGCATTTGAATTGTGTATGCTTGGATGGCATTCGGCTTTCTGCCTCCCAATTATGGCAACATAATATAGTGGCCCATTGCGATGTGACAAGGCAATTGTAACTTCAAACTTGAAATAGTCTACTTTGATTCTCACTTAGCATACCACAGATTCTCCAACCAAAAGTTTGGAGAAATTGTAATTTTTTTTTGGTTGAGAAAAGATGGTATCTCATTAAAACGAAAGGAGCATTATATAGTAAGAACTAGCATGTTAATGGCGGTTTCGTTAAAACCTTCCCAGAGAAACAAAATCCCGGGGTAGGAAAGAGTACCACTAACAATCAGATGCCCAACACCAGTTTTTGCATGCTTCTGATTCTCGCTTGGTGCCTCATACTTATCATCCCCTTAAGTAGAAGAGGCAATGACCATCTCCATAGTGTTAAAATGGAGACCCTCACCAGCGACTGGCTCCTTGGGAACTCAGAAAGGAAGCCAACGCAGCCACCCCAAGGAGAACAAAAGAGGAAAAAAAATATCATACTCAATTCACTAAGAAGAACCCAAAGAGACAATCAGAGAAGACTGAAAGAGACGGCGCAAAGAATGAGTAAAGAAAACTGAAGAAATTTAGCCGTCAAGGCTCTCCTCGCGTAAACGAGGGAACGACCCTAGGAAGTTCAAGGTAATAAAGGGAGGGAGTTTCTCACACACATGTACACAACTAAGATGCTAAGGCAATAAGGCAATAAGGTCAAGAATCGTTAGATTCAACTCCTAATAAAATAGGTAATTTATCAAATTAAGACCCATATTTTTCATTAAGACTACCTAAATTAATTTACTTCAAATGAAAGGGGCACACCATTGCATGCACAGAGGTTTTTTTTCTCCCCAAATTTACATAATGCTATTCTAATACGTAAAAGTAAGAAGATGTACGTTCCATTTTTGGAAGGAGAATTGAAACAAAGTTAGGGATGAACGGTTGCATTTGGTAACAGGAATGATCTCTCCTTCAAGCTTTGGACGCACAAACATTATTCCAATCATACCCCCCACATTATAGGAAGTTGACACATGGCTAAGGGAGGATACATCATACATCACCACGTACGTACTACTCGCTTTGCTAAGGCTAGAAAACACCCAACACACCTAGGGCACCTAGCATGAATTTAGAAGATCAAACCTCCCTTTATAATTAATTTGGACCCACCTCTAATTTCTGTAGCTGTAGGTCGAACAAGGGGTTTGTAGTTCAAGTGGTTAAGAGCAGTTATTCTTAATATGAGATTCTATGTTTTATTTCCCCTTTCTTCAATATCGCTTGTCTAGAATATTAGTGATGATTACAAATAAAACAAACTTACATGGATGTATAAGCCCTGCATGTTTATATATTCCTTGAAATCCAACATTATTATTTTTGTGATGATGATGATGATGATGTATTTGGCGGTAGATGTGGGGCTGGTTAATTTCTAAACTTTCTCGACCATTTTTTCGCAGCTAGTTTTGTATTTTCCTCTGATTCTCTATCACCAGCCATCTTAATCTCTAACCTCTCTTTGGTGCATATGATGGTCAAAAAGAGCATCACGTTTCACGAATGGTTCCAAATGCCAATACCGAAGAAAGCGTTATGATTGGACGGTTAGGAACTGTAGTCTCCATGGAAATATTGGTTCGGCCAATATTTGCTCAAAGAGAGATTCTTCATCCACCAAGTGTCTTGTGGGGCCCTTCAAACCTTGTAGCTGCAATAGCTGCAACCACTGAAAAGTAAAATCTCACTTGTGACTTGTAATGGTGTGATTTAATTCATTATAATAGATGTAATTATAATATAAATAATAAATAAAAAGAAAATACAGTAATTAATACATTATATTCTTAACAGCATCTATAATGGTTCTTCAATAGTTGAACGCAATAGAGAAAAAATACATTAATTAAATTACTTTTTTGGTCGCTTTTTAAAGATCTCTTTGAGAATATTGTAATGGTACAATTTTTAGTGTTATTAAATTTATCTTTTTTGTTTTATTTTAGTATGTAAAAACGACGTTTAAGTAAATATAGCTATTGATATATATGAAGCTAAGAGAATATTAAACCGTACCATTGCAAGTAAAATTACAACTCAATTCAATAGATGCCAAAAAATATCAATTTATTGAACTATCACATTGAACTATTGTTCAGCAACCCAAAAATATCCATTTCAAAATAAAATTTACATGTATATGTTGGTTATGTGATGTTCATGTCATCAATCAGCACCGTCCACTATGTCCTTCGATCGAATCCGTAAGTACTTTGTCATCATATCAATAACATCTTAGCTAGCTAGAGTAGATACTTGTCCTTGTAACTAGAATGTTTGCTCTCTCTCTCTCTCTCTCTCTCTCTCTCTCTCTGATGAAGTGGGTGAAGAGGCAGAAGGTTGTTGTTGGTTAGTTATTATTTCTAACATATATATATATCATATGTCCCACTTAAATTACAATTTTACCACTGAGCCTACTCTCTACGCCTGCCATATATGTGTATATATACTGACCCCAATTCAATCCCTTTATGAATACCTCCCTCCTCCCCTATTTGTCCTCCACTCTGCCTTTGTTTAGCAAAAGTGTTGTCTCTAACTTCTTAACTCTCCACCTCTTTGCCTCTCCCTCCATTTAAACAAAAACAAAACCACCAAACCCTCATTGCGCATATTAGACAAGACCCATCTCTTTGTACTTGCCAATATTCTCTTCAGCCTAATCTCATTGATCATTGGTCACCCTAATTAATCAGCTTTTTCTTCTTTAATTACTAGTACTATTACTTCAAGGTTTGAAGTACAATTAGTACTTGATCAACTTTTAAGCACTATATATATTGCTGATTTTATGGACTATTTCAAAGAATTGGAAGGCAAAAGACTGCATGATCACTCTGAAGCAAAGATGGCCGCTAAAACTACAAGAAGGCGTATATTTGTTCCTGGGCCGGTCATAGTTGGAGCTGGCCCTTCTGGTTTAGCTGCTGCTGCTTGTCTCAAAGAAAAAGGTATTCCCAGCTTGATCCTTGAAAGGGCTAACTGCATAGCTTCGTTATGGCAGCTTAAGACCTACGACCGCCTCCGCCTTCATCTCCCCAAGCAGTTCTGTGAACTCATACTCATGCCCTTCCCTTCAGATTTTCCCACTTACCCAACCAAACAGCAGTTTCTGGCTTACCTAAATGCTTATGCTGAACACTTTGATTTGAAGCCTGTTTTCAATATGACAGTGGTGAGTGCAAGGTTTGATAGCAGATGTAGGCTTTGGTTTGTTAAGGCTTTGGGGTTGAAAAATGAGGAGACTGAGTATGTTTGTCAATGGCTGATTGTTGCCACCGGTGAAAATGCTGAGGAGGTTGTGCCGGAATTTGAAGGGGTGGATGAGTTTGGGGGGCCTATTGTTCACACCAGCTCTTACAAGAGTGGTGAGTTGTTTAGGGGAAAGAAGGTTTTGGTGGTTGGATGTGGGAATTCAGGCATGGAGGTGTGTTTGGATCTCTGCAACTACAATGCAAGCCCTTCCCTCGTTGTAAAAGATTCGGTGAGCATACTCAAACTCTGCGTTGCCTGCCATTAACCCAATTTTACATTTTTTCTTTTCCATCTCATATATATATATAATCTCAATTCATTTCATTATTAATACCGCGGTGGAGAATATACAGCTTCAGTGATAGAACATTTACCTACTAATGACGAGACTTCAAATTCTTGTCCTTTCCCTTTATATGGTTTCAATCTCAGTACTTTTCTAGTCATTGTGAGTTAAGGTTCTCTATAATTTCTTTAAAAGGTAATGTTTGATTCCAATTCAGAGTGCCTCTAGCCAGATGATAATAGCCAAACCTAGTCTGACTACTTTTCAAATTTTGTTTCATAAAAAAAAGTGATTAGTATACTTGCTGTATTTTAAAAGTTTCTTCTTTTAACACACATGCACAATTAGTTTTGGATGATTAGTGGTAGATGTTGTTGACAATATGTTAAGCTAGCTCGTCTTCTAACAAAAGAAGAAGTCATTCTTCTCTCTCACTTTCTTGGAATTCGTTTGCATGCGCAATCAACAAGGGTCAGAAAAACACAAAATCTCATGCCATATATATATAATCTATGATGATGCGGTAGCTAGCTAGCTTTCCCACGTACAAAATGTTCTTTTGCAGAGAATCAGCAGCCAGTGGTGGTACTCTAGCTCATTACACACTCTATCATATTTTTGTTTGTTTTGTTTTTTTTTCAGCGCTTTTAGAAAATTCTTTCTGAATTTTGTTCGTAAAATATCAATTGTTTGTAGGTGCACATCTTGCCGCAAGAGATACTGGGAATATCAACTTTTGGATTGTCCATATGGTTGCTCAAGTGGTTCCCCATGCGCCTTGTGGATCATTTTTTGCTTCTTGTCTCACGCCTCATGTTTGGTGACACTGCCCAGTTTGGCATCAACCGCCCAGAGCGTGGCCCTCTCGAGCTCAAGAGCATGACTGGCAAGACACCTGTTTTGGACATTGGCACACTTGCTAAGATCAAAACTGGCCACATCAGGGTACTTATGTTTATTATAATTGCGCGCTTAATAAGTTTAATTAGTCCTGTGTCACGTGACTTTATAGTAGATTAATCATAATCAAGCATGGCTAATCAGACTATTGCTCATGTAGGTTTGCAAGGCAATAAAGCAACTAAAACATCAAGCTGTGGAGTTTGTAGATGGGAAAGTAGAGAATTTCGATGCCGTCATTTTCGCAACGGGGTACAAAAGTAATGTAACATCTTGGTTGAAGGTACGTATACTAATGGCAACTTTGTTTGATTAACTACTAATCTTGTTGAAGTTAACTTGGGTTAAGATTTAGGAAACTTTCTTTTTGTTATTTTTATTTTCTCAGGAAACAAACATGTTTTCAGAAAAAAATGGATTGCCTAGGAAGCCCTTCCCAAACGGATGGAAAGGGGAATGTGGATTGTACTCAGTGGGGTTTACACAACGTGGACTGCTGGGCGCTTCTCTTGATGCAAGAAGGATTGCAGAGGACATCGAGCATAGCTGGAAAGCTGAGGCCACACAGCTTGTGCACTGCCACCAACACCACCACCACAGCCCTGATTATATTAAGCAAAAATAACCTGCATATCATATACCGGCGGTGAATATCGAAGATAATTTATAAAAAAACAAAATTATTGATCACTTTATATATATGCAGCTGCCTTTGACAAGACCGAGGAATTTGGTTCCTTTGCTAGCTACCCCAGTAGAGCGAAGGAAGATAAGAAAAGAAAAGAAAAGAAAGCAAAGAAAAAGAGAGGGGAAAAAAGGTTGTGGGGTTGAAAATGGAAGTTGGGTTCCAATTCCAATCATTCAATTATAATAGTATGCCTAGGGGGATGTTGGGTGCAACAAAAAGTTTAATGCTTCTTTTGGGCTGTGGGGATTGGTGGTTCTTCTCATCATCAATGCGTACGTATATCTTGTAAAATTACCACTTTTACTTTAGCTTACTAGCTAGGATATATTAGGGTACTGTTTGATTAATTAAGAGACACTTTGGGTTTCTCAGATTTGGTTAATCAGGTTTATAATTTTTGTGTCTGATTTTAAGATGATCGATGGTGGTGTGATCGAATTTATGTGAAGTATAAGGTATAAACTGAATTTTCATGTGATTTGGGATTGGTGGTGTATATAGAGAATATGACATTTCATCAATATGATCACTTGTACCATATAAATGTTGGTTTCACCTACGATTTAAATGTTAAACTCCATATGCAAACGAGGTCTAGCTCAGTAGAAAAGGTTATTGACTTGCAAACTAGATGTCTTGGGTTCGAACTCCCATAACATCTTAGTTGTGTGCATGTGTGTGAGAAACCCCCTCCCCTCTAGTTTAGACAATTGTTTGTACTAAAAATAAAATAAAATGTGAGGATAGAATGAGTAGAAAAGATGGATTCCTGATGGGTTAGTTATTCAAGAATTAGAATACACATCCCACCCAAGAGTCCAATTCCTCCAAAATCAGGAGTTGAATTACTGATCTTGTGTGGGCTCCACTTGCATTTTCATTCATCAATGTGAAGTAAACACAAGAGTTATCCGTAATCGAAATCCAACTCTTTATTTTGATTCCAAATACCAATTAACCTAGACCTAGGGACCATATATCATCACATGTTTCCGAATTGGGGCCGGGAAATGAGAAAGTAAAAAGTGATGGGAAAAGATAAGAAAAGAGTAATCATGTTGGCCAAATAAAAAGGTCCCCAGGGCCGTGGCCATCATGATCAGGTTCTTATATCATATCTGTATATCTTGTTCTGCTGCATATGATTATTATGATATATTTTTAAAATATTTGGTGATCAAATTGCATTAATTATTATCCTTATTGCCCGAGCTATAACTGGGCCTTTATATCCTCATCAATTACTCGGACCACTATGACCTTCTTGAGCATTCGCAGAATATCCACCACAAGTTGACTTTGTCATCAACACTTACGGGTATAACATTTATGACCATTATTCTACCAATGTGTATATAATTAAAGTAATTTTCATGTCTGATTGTTGAAAATTATTTGTGAACCAACAACAAGGGTCGGTGTAATCAGTTTCAATACTAAGTGATCACGACTAACTTCTCAATTATTTTTTTGCGCGTGTGTGTTGTGTATTGACAAAGCCAATATAAAATTGTGTGAAGCTGTGCATGAATGAGACGGACAGTGAGACAAGTACATGGTAGAATGTAGAGGGTGTTATTAGTTAGGGTTTAATGATTTGTTGTTGGCGGGTTTTATTCCGACCGATTGGAATTTATGAAGCATGCATACATATACAAATCGAATATTGAGCCTCTGCAAATGAAGACAAACTAGCAAGTTGTATATAAGCACAGAGAGAGAGAGAGAGAGAGAGAGAGAGAGAGAGAGAGAGAGAGAATCAACATCTTGATTGAAGGTTTTCTCTACTTGTAAAATCCCAATCAGGACCAGCGAGTGTGGCCTACTAATAATTGCCTCGCAGCCATGGCCCATGAGATCCCATAATGCCATATTTAATCAAACTCCTCATAATTTGCTACTCCTCCTTTTGCTGCCGACTATATTCTCTAATCATGTTTCATATCCTTATCATTTATAAATATGTGATATATATATGACATATGATCGGAAATTCGAAGGTTACTAAAAGAAGGGGGAAAAAAATTCCCAATGTCATTTTAAAAGAAAAAGATGTAATAATGAGATAATGTGAGAATTTGCTCTCTTCTGGGTTAGAGCATCCAATCCTGCATGCTTCATGAATCGCATCTTATCCCAAAATCAAAATCAATTTGCAATGAAAAAATAATTAAAGTCCTTAATTATATGCACATGCAAAATTTCGTAACTTTTCGGTGTAGTATATTTCTTTAGATCCATGCATATGACCTACTCTTGTCAAGTCTCTCAACCACCTTGAGTTTGAGTTGGGTTGAAAATTAGGACGTAAATGGTCCATAACACGTGATAGCCAGGCGTATAGTATGTGTGGCAACCCCCATCACAGCTTTCCCCAGTGTACGTATACACATGGAGCACATGCTTATCGATTTAGACTGCCAATATTTTCATAGATTTACAGCCTTTATTATCCGTGGTCCAATAATATTCATTACCCTAACTGTTTTGATTGAGTGCCCTAACATTTCCGCAGGACCATTAATTTCCCATCACTTAAACATCATCAAATGCATAAAGTAAAACTAATTAGTCCAAAAAGGAACGATCCTAGTCTTGCAGTTAAATTACTAAGTTTAGAAAACCCATGGAGGAGATGGAAAGAGCAAATTGGGTAAAGCCACTAGTCACCAGAGGTTGGCATGAAAATGGATCTGAATTTTATGTGACTTTATTACGTAGGTATGAAAAGGGCAAGACATGCAGGCGTGAGGGCGTGTGAGTAAGAACAGAGATGACTCGTCAGAGGCATTAGGGTATTTCGAGATGGACATGACACTTTTATATTGTACACACAACATATATTCCATCTCTCTAGTCTCTACTCTACCTTATACCTTTGCTACCTAACAAACATATATATCTATACTATACTTCTTCTTCTTCTTCTTCAAGTCTCTACCTAGCTAGCTACATATCGATTATGGACCACCACTTGCAACTTGTCTTCTTCAATCATCCATCCTTCCGCATGTTATGCGATTCCAAAGTCGAAGATTGCACTCAGCCTCCACTTTCCTCTTTCGTGAAATCTCTATTTTCAATTCTTTCATAATATCTGAGAAATCTTACATATCTATATCTTTCAACTTATAAATGATCATAATAATTATTATTAAGGACCAACTAATCATGTGATCTCAATGTGACGAGGAGTTGGCGATATGAGGGAGGCCAGGTGTTCACCTGTCACTATTATTTGTTCTAACATCAAACACATGGAATGATATGATGTAAAACAAGACTAGAAGATCATTCCCCAATCAAGTAGCCAAAAAATTGTTTGAGTAAGCTACAAGTTTTTCCAACGTCGATCGCATAACATTTAATTTCATAGCCGCCGGCCTTGAGTAAAACCAAACCTTGTCATTATCAATCTATTTTAAAACCAAGCCTGCATATACATATCAATTCTAAAGACCATAGACTCCAAACCCCTTTTTTCCCCCATGTGACCCTAGCTCTTGTCACCCAGCAGGGCTTTGAGAAAGAAAGCAGTAAAAAAGACGATGGTTCTTTTTCTTTTTCTTTTTCTTTTTCTTTGTCACTGAGCAAGTTTTGTTTGAAGGAGTGAAAGCATGCATATGTCTAAAGAGAGCTGCAGACTTGCTTAAAGGGGAGAGAGAGAGAGAGAGCCAACTTACTTAACCCACTTGCTCACTTTATTCGCCCCCATCTTCTTGGAATCTAAGTGGATCTTTGCGAATCTTCCCTGGGTTTCAAACCAGGAAAAGAACAAAATTCTCATGCGTTTTGAGTTCCATGTTTGCTAGGGTTCCAACTTGGTAATTCATGACTCATGAGATAGTTTGCAAGATGTCATGTATCGTTGTTGGGTTCCACCAAAAGTCTTAAGTGGAGAGATAGATCCAAAGGTTCTGTCATCGGTGCGCACCATTTTTCATCCATCTCATCATTCTTGTACTTTTTCTTCATTAGACACAAAGCTCAACCATAGACATCAAAATCACTTGTTACAAGTCACGGACACATGTTTGCATGCTGCTGGATTCATCTTCTTTTGGTTCAACATTTGTCTAGTTATAAAGGTTACCTTTAAAAAAGTAAACACTAACAAATGTGGAAATCATAAAGCTCAACGCTATACAGATATATTGAGACCTAGAGGAAAATCATAAAGGAAGTCATTTTTATATTTACCACAAATCATTTTGATTAAATCTCTATTTTACTGAACTTTCATATAGAAATCATTTTCACACTTCATCGATAACTTTTTCTTATATATAAAATTCTATTTTTTTAAACAAAATTAATGTTTTATTATGGATAACTAAAAATATTCTTTATGTAATCACGACAATGTGGGTGAGTCATTCTATAGTGTGGGTCTTATCTTATTCCCTGGGTGACACACATGCTAGGACAAAATAGTTATATCTTTAGAAAAATGAGTGGGTGGTTAGAAACACCAAGATATGTAAAAGGCCCCTCTAATCATAGAAATTCATAGAAAAATGAATAACAAGTCAGTTAACAAAATCAACGGATGAGTTATGCTTATGGTTAGAGGTGAAATGGTCAATGAATCTAAGAAATAGTGAGAATTTGCTCCTTTCTCCTTGGTCCAAAGCCCTTAGATAAAGTCCTATCTTTTAATCGTATGATTAAATTAACCAATTTGATTCAATGATTAATAGATAGGGTCTCATCTAAGGCCTTAGATGAGACCCTAACTATCGAATTCTTGCAGCGTGGGTTGAAGCTATTTGGGCTAGACCAAAAACAAAGATAACAATATATATGTTTGGGCTAGTCTCTATCTGAGCCGACTAGACGTAAATCTGACGGGTTCAAATGGATCAGAAAGATGTTTTGCCCAATAATGAGATTTGGCATGTATGTGAGGCCAAAAGATCAATTGAAAGTTAAGCCCATTAATCTTTTTACTGTCCGGATCATGTAGCCCAGATTCAGCCCGCATCGCCAAGCATCATGTGCAACAACCACTGTGATGTAAACTCTGCAACAAAAAAAAAAAAAAAAAAAAACCCAA